CAGTTATCCAAAGGATCAGATATCACTGGATTCCCAAAGAGTTCACGAAGAACCATTTATTTATTTATTTATTTATTCAGAATAAACAGGTAAATACCCATAGAAGCATCCACTGATAGTAGTGGTTACAGAGATACACGGTGTCAACAGATACAAGAAAAAATAAGAATTAATGAATCAATAAATTTCGTACATACTAAACAATTATTTTTGCTATGTGTTGAATATTCTTTTCATCGTTATTTTAAAGGAATTCAACGTAATAGAGAAAACATTCACATTACTACAATATTTGTTGAAAGAATCACACATTCTAGTAATTGGGGAGTTTTTGCCCAGATTTGTGCTGAAATTTGGACTGGCAAGTAATATTCTGTTTCTAGTGTTCCTATGAGAAACGTGATAAAAAATCATTGATACTAGATTGGGTGAGTCATAACAGTTTGTTATAATTTTATAAATAGAAATCAAGTCGGTTATTATCCTTCGTTGTTCTAGAAGCTGTATTTTGTAGTAAGATCGAATTTCGCTAATGCCAAGTGCCACATAAGTCTTCGTTATTTTGAAATGCAAGAACCTTACAAATCTGTTCTGGAGTCTTTCTAATCGTAATTTATGTGTATTATAATGTGGGCTCCATATGACACTTCCGAAATTAAGTTTACTATAAACAAATGCATAGTAAATAGATTTGATTGCTGCCTCGTTGTTGAAGTCTTTGCATATTCTGCAGAAAAATACCAAGGTTTTGCTGCAGAAATTTATTACCTAATTCAAATGGGGATTGAAAGTCATTTTTGTATCAAAATAGATTCCAAGATCTTTAATTTGGTCTACTCTGTTAATAATATTATTGCCCAGGGAGTATTGAAAATGTATCGGTATGTTGTTTCTGCAAAAAGATATACATGCACATTTATCAATATTGAGTTTCAATTTATTGAGGTGGCAGTATTCTAAAAAAGCATTGAGGTCTCCTGAATTTTTGAGCAATCTCTAATCGTCGTTACTTTTCTGAAGATTTTCAAGTCATAAGCATACAATAATACTTATAAATGCTTGAAACAATCTTTCAAATCATTTATAAATACTAGAAACATTAATGGACCCAGATGTGAACCTTGAGGGACTCCCGAGGTTACTACAAATGGTGCAGATCTGTATCCATTTACGCTCACTAGCTGACTGCGATTGTGAAGGTAGGATGAAAGCCATCTAAGGAGATCTCCCTGTATACCGATACCAGCAAGTTTTGAAATAAGAAGGTTATGGTCGACTTTATCAAATGCCTTACTGAAGTCAGTATACAGTGAGTCCACCTGTGCTCAATTGTCTAATGCAGTTGAAATGTAGTCGGCATATATTACTAAATTTGTTTCTATGGCCCTCTTGGAGAAAAAACTATGCTGGCAGTCTATAATTGATGAATTGATAAAGTAAAACAGAGAGTCATAAACGATGCTTTCGAACAATCTGCTGAAAATGGACAGTTTACTGATACCTCGATAATTTATTACTGAGTTTCTATTACCAGAGTTTTTATAAATCGGGACTAGGAGAGCAGTTTTCCAAACCTCTGGAAAGCACCAGACTGTATGGATTTGTTGAATAAGATGCTCAGGGCATAGCATAGACCAGAGGCACAGTTTTTAACGAATTATGATGGGTAACCATCGATCCCAGCATCCTTATTCATATCGATAAACTTCATTTTCTCTAATATGATTTCTGAAGTGAACTCTATTGAATTTAACAAATTACTATTGCTGAACTGAAGAGGAACATATGTTTGCTGATAGGGCTCGTTAACGCTGCGAAAATATGTAGCAAATAGGTGAGGCGAACCAGTTGAGAGATAATTTCCAAAACTGACTTCCAATATCAGTGGTGAATTCATTTCCTATTGAATTCGATTCATTAATTGTCATTTAATTTCGACCGATGTCTCTGTGGCTTTTTTCCAAAATGAATATTGGGGTTTTCATTCTTATGCCTACATTATAACGAATTTATTATTTTCGTAGCTTCTTATTCAGATCCATTGATTGGAAATCGAGGAAATTTCAAAAAAAATAAATGTAAATTCTGATTTTAGATGGAAATTCGGTATGTGTGGTTGGTCAAAATCGATTTTTTAGCAACAGTAGGCTGGGTATTGAGGTTATCACTTGGGCTGAGGATTGCGAATAGTGCGGATCATGAAGGTGTATGCCTGTATCAGAAATCAAATATCTGCTTTCAAAAATGACTTGAATACTGTGGTGTCTTCATCTTATGTATAATTATTAATATATAATAAAATAAAAGTGGTCATCTGGGATTATTGGAATTATTGGTAAAGGTGTATCAAACAGAAGTATAAAACTGATGTATTACTAGTGTTTAATTCAAAATTCTACATTTCGAGAAACTAATATGGTTTTAATTCCATATCAACCGTCTTCGATATGATTGTATTCACGATTCCCTTGCCTTTGCTTCATTCATTACGGGTACTGTGGGCCCTCACTTTGCCTGCCACTTAGGGCTCCTTCGGGATTCTCATACACATATGCTGAAATGAATAACTTCTATCATCACGAAGTTTCACTTTTGTGGTATGTGCAGCAGGCGCTTGATGAATTAACGTAATGAAGTGTATTTTAGTGAAATATGCCAGTGAGTCGTACAGTGTGGAGGAACCAAATGCAATAAATTCATGCACATTCATGAAAAATTCACGTTGATTTCGAATTTTCTTTTTTTTGGAATAATCCCTCTCTTGGTATAACCCACTCAGAGGAGTTTTGAATCGAGAGTGAGTGTTTGTGATACATCATTCATATGGTCTCTTCATTGTTAAATACTGACGAGAGGTAGTACCCCGAAACCGCGGTCTGCAGGTGATCTACTTGAATAATTTCAGCATAATCCTGCAGCTGAATGAACAAGAAACATCTGCGAAACTAACCTCTGTGAGGAATCTTGCATAAACGTCGTCGGATATAATTCAATATCCAGCGTGGTATTAGCCGGGGAAGTAGTTTTTTCAACATATATATTATAAAATGTGATGTAAGTTGTAATCACAATTGCAAATATAGTTGTATTTATTTTAATGTAATAAAAGTCCTGACTCGGCTAGACTTTTATAATTATTATTGTTTTCATAATTGGTTTTTTTAATGAAATAATACAAAATTTTCATTTGGCTAGACTCTTTTGTTGAGTTGAAATCCCTATAACTCATTGTATAGAGATTTTTCTCAACACCTCAGGTGGATTCAGGCTAAAACACAAATATTACTCACCCAGAAACAATCTGAATAGCAGTTGTACCTGTAAATAAATTTTGAAAAGGCAACTGACAATAGAAGAATGAGAGAGTTTGATAAACTATAAAATCTAAATTCTAAATATAAACTAACTAATGAAAACGGCAAACTATTCTAGAAATTGTTCACCGAACTGAGTAATGTGAATCTTGGAACGCACTGTCAGTTTGTGAAATGTCAGTTATTCTATCCTGGACATTTTATAGTTTTCTGCTCGATGGAAATTCATGAATATAATTGTTATTCAATTGTCCTGTGTTTTCTTTTTGTGGACGAGTTATTTATGTATGCATATATTTTTTATATTCAATATGGAAAGTGGTAAATACCTGGTTTTCCTTCTGTGGATTTTGTGCAGTGAAAAATTGTATAGTCACCGGATTCTTCTCTCGTCTGCTTGAAATTCTTCAAGTAGTAAATTTTTGGATGAGTTTCTCGATTGAAACTGGCTTATACAGATTATATTTTTTTTCTATATAATTATTTGATATTCATTTGACTTTTCTATAAATTTCAATTCAATTCTGGGAGCAAAAAAATTTTGCGTGGCGTCTCCTTTCGTCGCCTCTAGAATAATGTTTTGTTGATAAAAAAGTTGAAAATCTTCCACTTTCCTTAGTTACCAACTATAAATTTTTGTAACTTCAAATTTCCAACTTTGATATCTCAAAAAATATTTCCTCTACAAGTCTGCTACTCATTTCTAAATTCAGATACATATTTCCCTAACATTTATATAAATACATGTTCAACCTCATTTATGTCTAAACATATAAATTTTTCGTTAGCATCATTTCATGCCCGTAACTAGGGAAATGGTTTACAACAATAATTTTTAATCTTTCATCATTTCTTAATATTTACAACAATTTTATTTGACAGATATAATTTTGTTTTCATTCGACTTTGATTACCATCCTATGCCGGTTGTCTATTTTGTGAAAATTATCAATTTTTACACACAAATTTTGAATTTCCCGCTCTTTCGTACTTGTTTCATGGTGAACTTCTAGACATGTACAGGGTGATTTAGCTGTACTTCTTTCTATGAATTTTCCTGAGATGTTGTGAATTTCTCCACTCACTGTTATAACAATATATATCGAGAAAGGTTAATGAAGTCAAGTACTATTCTGATCATTCCCATATTAATTACAATTTACCGGTAGACAGCTGCTTCAGCCTATTGAGCATCGTCAGTACTGGGCAGACGGTCCTCGATTGAAGACAAAATGTGAATAACCAAGAAAAGTACTTGCGAGCGCTTTCGATAGCAGGCTGTATGATCATCTGGCTCTACTCAAACTGATCGTTTTATCTTCTTGTTTGTTCTTTTATACGGTTAGAACGCCTTAGTGTAGGTATTTGTCCTCTTCTTTCATCCGGATGTCTCTTTAAATTTGCCTGTACTTGGGTTACATTAGGTAATATCCTTCGTGTTGGTGTTTCTCTGTTCATTGGTTCTAGGAATGTCTATTGTTTTATGGAGTACTTATATTGAATGTTAGATCTTATTGTATTTTCATTTGTATTTGTTCGTCGATAAGTGAATTATGACTTTTGAATTTATGGATGTTTAGGTTTTCTGATATTGAGCACTATTGTTGCGCCACTGTTCTTTCATGAGTATTCATTTCATTCTCAAGGCAGCTGATAACGTCCTACTAAAATTCCATAACACACGATTCAAAACCAGTGTAAGTTAATAAGTATTCAAGAATGTACCTCATTTTTTGGACCTTGCTCCTTCTGTGTATTCTCAACAATCAGAAAGTGTGTTGTCACGAATTATTCAAAGTGGAATTCGAGTGGAGCCACATCAATTATTTGTGGCCATCAAATTTGGAGTACCTTGAAGCTTCGGCAAAGGGGAAATACATTCCAGAAAATGTTGTTTTCACTGGTATAAAAGTATACAGAGATAAACTCTTTCTAACAACTCCAAAATACAGACCAGGCGTACCAGCTACTTTGACGTACATTCCACTACGTTCAAACAAAAAAGTCAACCAGCCACTAATTCCTTATCCTGACTGGGAAATGAACAATGATAGCTACTGCGGACATTTACAGAGTGTTCAAAGTATGGAGATTGACCCGCAAGGAATTATGTGGGTCATAGATGGCGTAAGAATCCAGTACAATACCAACTGTCCCTGCAAGTTGTTGCTTCTTGACCTCAATAACTCTGGAAAGGTTATTCACAAGTACGTTTTTCCAAATGAGGTCTGTCTAGGCAACGGTGCCTTTCTCAATGACATAGTTTTGGACGGAGATCATGCTTATATGACAGACAATTCTTATATCGATCCTGGGTTGATTGTATACTCAAGGAAGGCTAATCAAGCATGGAAGCTGAGAGATAGATCAATGTTTCCCGAGGAAAATGCCCCTAAGTTCTCCGTAGATGGCACACCTGTCACGCTGAAAGTGGCAATTGACGGTATTGCCTTGTCTCCCAAAACAGTAGGAAGATCTGTTGATAGGACATTGTACTACAGTCCCGTTACTGGTTATGATTTGTTCAGCATTCAAACTAGCGTTTTGAAAAATTTTAGTCTGTTTCAGAATGCGAAATTCAGGGATAAAATAAAATTGATTGGCAGAAAACAAGGCGCTACGGATGGCATGATGATGGATAACGTAGGAAATCTATTTTACACTCTGGTATCTCATAACGCAGTTGGTAGGTGGAATATCAAAACTCCCTTCAAAAATGCGACAATATTGTATCAGAATAATAGTTCGATGATCTGGCCTGATACCTTCGGAATGACTCAGAGTGGATACCTTTATATGACTTCCAATTATGTTTCCAACTACCTCGACCCCAATGTGGAACTGAAGTTGTCTTCTACCATCAAATTCCGAGTGTGGAAGTTCCATAGTGGGACGATGAGCTATATGTATGACTGAGAAGATTCCAATTTTATTTTTTTCATTATTTGTTACGGAGAATAAAGATAAGCAAATATTCGAAAACTGTAATTGATTATTCAAAATATTGCTCATACTTTGAGAATTACATTTCCATACAAATCGCTATAATGTTTTTTTTAAAAAAAAAAACTATTCATTCATGTGTTATCATAATTACTGAATTATGTTTATAATTCCAGAAGAGTAAGCACTAAATTATCAGAAATGACGTTTATGCTTTAATTTGTCTCTTGCAGTGGCGTACAGAAATTATACTGAACAGATGAGGAGAAATGATGATTCAGTGCCTACTATTATGGAATTGTACTATGGGAGCTTTTCAAGCATTTTGAGGATATTTATTTTATCTAATGATTTTCCTGTATACGGTGTGTCTCACTTCTCATGGAAACACCCCCCTATCTTTCGTAATAATCGAGATAGAATGATGAAAGTCTCAGGACTGATGGAAACGCTCAAAATACACCTACCACCTGGATGGGGTTGGCCAAAGAGATATACACTGCCCACCACTCGCGATGGAACAACCCATTTTTACGGTGAAACATACTAAGGGGCAAAATAAGCTCAAAATTCCTTCAGATCCATGATCAGGACTACCGACTCTCTACTAATATACTTTGTCCCTGAAAAACTTTCAGTCCTGAACCGAATTGGTCTCGCTTCTCATGGAAACACCCCCGTATCTTCCGTAATCATTGACGTAGATTTATTTTTGGTTTTGACATCAAAATACGAACCCAGATCCATCTTTTCAATACCAAAATGCCCACAAGGATGAACTGGAGAAGAGAGGGTATAAGATAAGTCAATACTGTTTTAATTCAACTCGACGTTTCGGTTCATTATTAAAACTCAATCATGGGTGTTGAAGTAGTAGATTGATGATCAGATTGTCAATATGAAAAATTTACAGTGGGTGAAAGTCTGTCAAGAAATTAAAACTAAGATTCTTGATAATACTGAAACATCAGAAACAAAATTTTGTTCTCAATAAATGCCCCCGATTGGTATTCCCCTAAGGTTTGCATTGTAACCTATCCTTTCTATATTACACATCGATTATCTATTGTTGAAGACTAGAACCCCATTATTTTATTCCGCTGAGAGATAAACACATAAGAAGTTTTATATATTTTGGTGAAAATTTCTTCTCGAGGTGACATTAATCAAGTAGTAGATATTACACAAATTTGACAGCACTAGACATAATAATATAATGGCACATAATTTGACCTGCGTCGAATGATCCATTCTTTGTCAAATTTGATGCCAATATGTCTTGTAACATTTACGTTACTAGATTAGCAGAAGTAATTCAGAAATTGGAACTCTCTTTCTCGCTATATAGGGCTGCATCCCTGAGCATACATAATACCATTGGATGATATCTAAAAAAAGACATTCGCTGACCCAAGAATGTTGACTCGGTAACAGAGACCAACGAAAGAACTTTCAGCCAACGTTTTTAGAATACAGTGGTATCAACTTATATGTTCGTTTTTCTCAAAAATCGCCTATAACTTTGAATTGAATAATTGTTATAACCTATTCCATTTCCTCTCTCTCTCTCTTTCAATGGCCGCTGCTTCTCACTCGGACTTATTTGGTCAGGCTCCCTCTATCAGTAGTTGGCAGAAACTCCGTTGCGGAGCGCAGCGGTATTGCTTAAACCAAAGCTTCCGCCCTGAGTTTTTCACATGAAAAACATATTTTTTGTTCGCTTCCTCTTAGGGATATTTTCGGACCTTCAAGTTCTCGTACAAGGTCCCCTTGACGTTTCACTATTAGACTACTTTTTATGTAAATTTGTTGGAGCTAATGGCCTATGTTACCCCTAATGAAGTTTTGGAACGCTACCACCTGATATTCTTACCAGTTCTGGTCAAACCATGTATCTCAGGCTTACTAATAATTGGTTTAGAACGCTATTTTTCGAAAAATGCTCATCAAAAAATAATAAGTCAGGGTTCTATTGGAAGCAGAATTGAACACCAATCAAAATGATGTGTCACTTAACCCCCTTTCCCATTTAAAATTACGAGGGTAACATCTACCCCTCCTGGAGGGTTGAACCACAATGAAATTCACCTGTTTTTTCGATTCCTCATATAAGATATTAAGGGTGGGAAGTTTTCAAATTGACACCCTGTATATCTGTTCGCTGTTGAATACTTCTCTGGTCGTTCATTTCAAACGTCCCTCATTGACATTTCGATGATTCTTCTGAAAAAAATATTCACAAATTGACTGAACACCGACAATAAATCTTGCTGTCATGGAAACGTCCCATAGCGTGCGGACTCCGAGCCGATAGACCTTCCTGCTCGTGTAATAGTTCACCCTGTCGTGTGGTTTCATACCAGTGGTTGCGCATAGATCATGATGTCCATGAGGGACCGCAATCTTCTCCCTTGTTGTGGAGGACTGTCCTAATAGATCACGCCAAACGAAGTGTGATGGATATATGTCATATTGGATTATTAGGTTAGGGCTTACTCTAAAGCGTTTCCAGTTTCGGATTCATATAGTGGAAGATAATGGAAAAGAAGTGTCGTATTTGATTTTCGTTTAGAGGTTCGTTTGTTGTTATAGGAAACTTTTGAAATGTATTATTGATATAGAAGATTATGAAGTGAAATTATTATTTAGGTTTTGTATTTTCTGTTAATATAAAAATTTGCTCCAATTCAAATGGAGATATTTTGAGGTGTGATTATTTTTTAGGAAGAATTCACTTCGAATTTAAATATTTTCTTCCTTCTCTTGGAAGTTTCCCAAAAAGAAAATGAAACAAATAATTCGCCGCCAATTCGACTGTACTATTTACTATCCATTTAACCTGTTAAACAACTACAAACGCACAAACTCAGTACAAAATACTTCCAGTTTTACTTTTACTTTAGGATGAGTGGTGTATAACTTCAAATTTTCGCCCTTTTTCTTATTGTAATATGAACTCTAGCTAACTTATCAGCACTAGGAACCCAACAATATATAACCTCTTTGCAAATAGGACTCAGACAAAATAATATGTGAACTCTCTCTCTCTCTCTCAATATCAACTGGTTAGTAAAAAAAACAAACACTCACATAACGCCTCTTTGGTGGTTCATGGTCAACCATAGGTACCGTTGACCCGGTCTTCAACACCAACACTTTTGCTTTCAACTTTTTTGTACCCATTACCGGTTTACGATTTCACTATTGATTTTCCCCAAATTTCGCACCACGCGCTTGGAAACCAAATAACCCCCTATTTAGGCCACCTTCCTCAGCTTCGAAGGCTGAGGGATGAGACCCCCGCATATCCAAGCATACATTTTGGAATTTGAAAACATATTATTGGATCCATTGAATGACGAAATTAAGAGCATACATGCATACCTGTACTGGCATCTGTTTTTGAAAAATTTTTGAAGTTTCTTCTATTGATTTATGTATCGAAGAAGTATTTTTTATGTTTCTGCCGAAATATATACTGAAAAAATCATTTTAAATTCATCCATGACACGTGGATACATGCATATTTTGCATTCTTTTTTCAGTGGACTCGTCTTATGTGTTATAATAATTATTTACCAAAGAAGTAATTATTTTATTTATTTAAAGAAATTAATGTTGAGAGAAACATTATCTATTTTTCCATGACATGTGAATGAATGCATAGTTTGCATTCTTGATTATTATTACGTTTTATGATTTGAAATGTTATTATTTATATATGCTGAGTTGGCAGCCGCCACGTTTATTTCTAATTCATTTATAAAATAAACAGAAAAATAAGATTTGAACGAAATGTAACTGTATGGGTATGAGTAAATGAGAGATTACACATACCTAATGCTTTTTTCAAATGTATCCTTCCTCTATCACAATTTTTTAACCGAATCAAATTAGGAAATTCCAAATTAGAATTGGGTCACATTTATTGTGACATTGATAAGTAACATATTTAAAATTGACTTGCATTACATAATTTCAATAATGCATTCTTCAGTGTATCCACATAACACAAAATTGCAGACTTTTCAATTGAACTGGCACTAAAATGTGGCATTTATGGGACCGATACTTCATTCTGAATTTCCTGAGGAAATTCGTTCAAAAAATAATAGGGAAAGGGGCATATTGAAGAAGAGTACGAAATATAATTTGTACTTCTTGCAAGAAAAAAAAATTAGAAATTTTTTGGCTTTCTACTACTCCATCTTGATACAAAAAAAAGGATGAGAGAAACTTCCAAAGAAAGGAAGGAAGTAATCAATTTGTAAATAAGTAACGCTATACATGGATGTGTAGATCATGCAAAGAAGTAACTTTCAGATACAAACTGAAAGAAAGTTCTCCTGAAACAGCTACTTTCATATAGACATTGAATTATACGAAAGAAAAAATTCTTTCAAAACAAATACTTCTATATGAACACTGAATTTTTTTCTTTCATATAATTCAATGTTCATATGAAAGTAGCTGTTTCAGGAGGACTTTCTTCCAGTTTGTGTCTGAAAATTACTTCTTTGCATGATCTACACATCCATGTATAGAGTTACTTATTTTCAAATTTGATTACTTCCTTCCTTTCTTTGGAAGATTCCCTCATCCCCTTTTTGTATCAAGATGGAGTAGTAGAAAGCCAAAAACTTTCTTTCCCAAAAATTTATCACTCCTAAAAATATAACCCTTTCAATTCAAAACCAAATTATTGTAAAAATATTAATACTTACCTGAAGTGGAAAATCAGTACGAATTTTCTTGATATAAACATATAGAAATATTTCGTAAAATATAATTTTTCTTCCATGAAGAATATCAATGCCTTGCACCCGATAGCAAGTCTTAATTGAAGAAATGAACAACTCTTGTGTCAATAATAATCAATGTAGTAGCAAGAAGGAAGGTATACTTATTACTGAAAACTATACTTGAAATGAATTCATAGAAATATCTGATAAAATAGTTATTTTCTTCTATGAAGTATATTCAAATCTTGAAAGTCGATAGCTATTCTTGATTAAAGAAAAGATCACTTCTCATGCTAATAATAATTGATGTTTAATCAAAAAGAAAGCTATACTTGTTAGTAAGTTTTTGAAGCTTAG